TTGAACAGATGAACGAGAAATGAGTTACAGTTTTCCAAGACATATTTAGGATATATTCTCTGCCTTTCTTAAAATCTGAATAATGTTCTACAGAGTTAAAAAGTGAGAATATCAGACCCTGAAACCTAACGCTGAGGTCTTCAGACTCCTCAGGGACCGTTTAGAGCTCCAGTTGGTCTTTTGTGGAATCAGGCTCCTATTTTAAGATAGCAAATATTAACCATTTTAAAGGAATAAAACTCCAGTCTAGTCATGATGGAGGAGGCAGTATCTCAGTGCTTGGTTCCATAGACCTGCACTGCCAGTTGTATTTAGGTTGTTGAATAGAAAGTGCATTAGTCCATGTGAAACAGGAATGAGCATTTGGATTTCTTTACATCAGTGCTCTTAGTTGGGTAAGCGCAGGAATTTTTTAAATATCCTTAGCAGTACTTATTTGGAACAAGCCTTTTTCAATGGGGATAGAATCTACAAGAATGTGACTCTCTGAAATTTTCATGTGATATGTTAGTCTTTAAACCTTGTTGCTGTAAGCTGTGTGAGCACTGTGAATATGCATCCAAAAGGAAACTTTTAACTAGAGAGAGCTGCTCAGAGCAAGTGCTTTTAATTCTTTGTATTTGCGCTGCTAGTTTCGGATCTCAGGATTTTCCAGTAAAGCAGAGTGCATGTTTTCAGTCCATCATCACAGATTTAATGGTACCTCAGGTGGCATACGCAGGAAACTGTGGATGTGGGAGAGGAAAAAAGATAAAACCCCTCAAGAAAGAAAAGTTAGCAGTCTGACAGGTATGATGAGGGCAAGGAGAATATGTGAAAGTTGCAAAAGTTAGCACAGTACTCCACTTACGGCTCACTCAAAATTATGGCTCACTAATGTTCTGCTATATGAAGGAAATAATTCATGTAAAAGTGGGACAATGGAGTTCTGCTTTCTGAAAGTCAGCTAAGAAGTAATGTAAATTGAAACTTTCTGCTCTTGGTGACTTGCATGCTACTCTTCAAGGGGCTGAAAAGAGACAGCAATGGGGTTTTAGTCAGTTTTGTAAGGTTTTTTTAAATCAGTTAGAAGGATGGTTTCTCCTTTCTCTGCAGAAAGTGAGCATCTTGCATTGCTCTACAGTGAGCTGGGGCTGTTCCACTTCAATGTACATTATGGGTTAAATATCCAATGTACCTGGCATTTTGCATTGTGCTGCTGTCATTATTTGTAAAAATGACATAAAAGCATGAGCTATGAAGGGAGAGCTAATTGTGACTGTGCTGGCATATTTACGTGTTTTGTTTCTGTTGAAACGGTAATTGTGGTCTAAACCCAAAATCAGATCATTTTCTTCTTCTAACTGGAAGCTTACGTATATCTGTATAAATAGACTTTTAGAGCAAGTATTCACATCAGGCTCGAGGAGACAAACCTTTTTTGAAAACTCTACTCACGCTGTGTTGTGTACTGTTATCCCATGGTGTTTTTGTACATCTGAGTTAGACTTTGCTGGCTTCCCGTTAAGGGGGTAGGATTGCTGTTCCAGGCTGCTTTGAACAAACTAGCCCTCTTTAATTTGGTAAGTCTCTACACGCTGCCAGTGAACTAAATAAAATGGCCACCACCTGGGTTTACAGTGCATAATGTATGTTAAGCATGCATGAGGTTTTATTCTTCTTTTGGACATATGTGTTGTTGCATCCATTACCAGTCAGCAAGAAAATACTTACTAAAATCACAGGGTGAAAAAACAACAACAGAACACCTGTTCTCTACACCACCCTCATAAAAACTATCTTGCAGATTGCACACAAAAAACCCTAATATTCTAGTCTTTTTCCTTTTTCTAACAGCTACTATTAAAAGTATGTTTTTGGGACCAGACTGATAAATTGGCCCAAATACTCCGCAAGCATGGCTTTAAGCGCAGAACAAAAAATAAAAGCAAAAAGTCAGGAAATTTGTAAGATTTGTGCACAGCAAGGAAGCCGAAAGCTCACAGTATTGAGGCCTGCCATGGTAAAAAGATTTCTTTCGCATTCTGGTGGCTTATGCCTTTGGCCTTCAAAATTACTTCCTCCGGTTAAGCTAAAACAGTCGCACAGATTTCTGCTGTGAGCCGTTAATCCTTGAGGTTATCTTTAGCACCCTTGTTGGGGCTTTGAAACAGTGAACAGCCACCAGCTCTGGGACTTTGGCTAAAACCGACTGTAGGCTCACTTAACTGTCTCAATGGGCCGATAGGAAGTGCAGTGGACAACTCTGCTCTACATAGGCATTATTGTGGGTTCTCTGGCTCTCAGGCCGTATCACTTCAGTGTCTCAGATACTGTGTAGTCAACATACTTCTGCTGTTTGGCTGATCTCTTTGGTTTTCCTCACAGAACTAGTACAGTTCTGGCTAAAAAAGGTAATATTTGTTGATCAGGGACCAATACATTTTGATGATAACAAGGTCCCCATTCAGAATAGTACATAAACACATTTAGTTGGACTCCCAGGTTTAAGTGTGTCCTTCAAGTTTGGCGTGGGCGTAGTGCTTTTCTGAACCAGGACACAAGTTTAATACGGTGGTTCTTGTTGCGTACATTCTGATGTTTATACGAAAAAATATCTGACAACTGCTGCTCTTCTACTGTGAATCGAAGAATAAGGGTTTTCTTATTTACTTTCTGGAGAAGGAATTTGAGATGCAGTCATGAAAATACTAACATGGCTGAGGAAACTTCTTCATATCCAAACATTTGCAGGTTTGTAGCCTACTTTAATAACGGAGCAGTCTGAAAACTGTGTCTATAAAATCTCAATATGGCACTCTACCAACACGTATTCTTTATACAGATCTAAGGCAGTCCAGCTTGAAGAGTTTCTTTATCTGCGTCTTGTGTCTGGCTGTTTTCTGCCTGTGGGTTCCCATTGGCCACATGTATGACTGAAGCTGAAGATTATTTTCCTGTACATTCTGTACGGTACCTGTATTCTGTCTTAAGGAAAAATATACACGTGCATTTTTCTTCCTTTTTTAATAAACTGACTGACAGTTTAAAATAAATTCTTTCAGCTGTTCAGAATGGTACGCAGATGTACTAGCACATTTCAGAACAAGTTAAGCAGAGGGCAAAGCATTATGTCACCAAAGGAGTAGAAGAGGCGGAGCTGGTTTCTGACCACTGAAGCAAAATAAAACATTGCTAAGATGGTAGCTTTGAGAAAAATAAACCAGGCTGTTCTAGCATGTAGGTGGACTATGGAGGCAGCAATAAAAGAGAATAGTCTTATCAAGGGAAAAAAGTGGGAGGGCTACAAAGGTAAACTGTGGAATGAAAGAGCAATACTGAAACAGGTGGAAAAAAAACAACGAAAACGAGTTTGAGGCATAGTGCGAAAAGGGAAAACAAGGCTTATAAAGACATTGCATTAGCATGGTTGATACCTTCACAGAAAGAGAGGAACGGCATGAGGAGTGAGTAGCCACTGACACGAAATCGTATCTGATATCCAGAGACGAGGATGCCAATCTGAAGTCCCTAGCTCTCCCTGTAGATTGTATGGGGAACTCCGATGTCTCACCAGCGTTCCTTCCAAGGCTAGGTGTCTGGCAGCAAGAAGACCCAATCCTAATTTGTAGATTGCCTAAATCTGTATAGGACTTGGCTCTTAGCCTTGCTGTGAGGGGAGTATTCACTCAAGTTTAGACATAATTTAGGTACCTGTATAGGAGCTTGTTATTCCAAAGATGCCTGTATGGAGAGACAGAAATTCTTATAGGGAAGCTCCCAAGGGGCTGATTGAGGCTATCTGTGTTAGGTACGTACTACACATTTCTCTCTGAAGGACCCTCGCTCTGGTAACACTATATATTATGATCCTATCATCCTAATTTAAGACAGTTAAGTGCCTGAAGTTAGGTGATAGTGTATCCCCTCTCTATGTCTTTATGTTCCCATTACGTAAATGAAGATAATTTCTCTACTGTGACATTATGAGGACGGCATTCAGTAGGAGTCGTGAAGCACTGACGTACTATGGCAATCAACAGGTAGAGAGGTGTCCAAATGGCAGGTATCTCTCACTGGAGGAAATGAGTATTCCAAGGAGATTGTATGTTGCGCATATCGAAATAATTTTAAGGACACTGTGGTTAAAAGTAGCCTTTTGCCAAGAAAGCAGCAGAATTAGCTGAAGAGAACTGGAAGCCGTAAGAGGTGGATTGGTTTAGAAAGCGGTCTGAGGAAGATGGGGAGAGAGCAGTCATAGTATCACTTCTTTAGGGTGACCCAGAATAATTTACCTAGAGAATTGCTTCTCGTTCCTAATAGCTAGTTTCAGTGCTACCACAGTACAAAAATTCTTATTTCACCATGTTGTGTGTATTTTTATATCTGATTAGTAATTTCTATACGTAACTATGCTTATAAAGCATATTGAAAGGAATTGCAGTCACCACAAATGTGTCGTCAAAAATAATATCATTAGCTACCAAGATTAAGCTGTTGGAAGACTACATGTTATGAATAATTTATACTTGATACATTGACGTCCATGCTTGGTTGATTAATCTGAGTTAATCTTTCTACTACCAATAGGTACAGTAATTTTAAAGAACTGAAAACAAGTTATTCAGGCTAATAATCAGGAGTAGAGGTTGAAGTATTTTTATCTGGTTACTTTTCTTTGAAATGGCTTGGCTGTGAAAGCGGAGACTTTTTTTACTTGCAGCTTTCAAGGTTTGTAGCAGCCAAATAGAATTGTCTCAGAAATCTTAAATCACAGTGCTTCCCTGAGGGTAAAATCATCCCTCTGCACAGTGCCATTCTTGCCCCACTTACCCTCAATTAAGGTTTTCAAAATAAGCTTGAAGTGGGGTATTGGCTTTGTACTGAAATCCATTCCTCACATACAGAAAAGACTGTGGAAGGCCTGTATTTAACGTCTCTATGTGTGTTCCTCAGTTTTTGCCCTCATAACGATAACATACAAATTTGTATTATTTTTTCTTCTTTCCTTTTTTAAACAGATAGAGTGACTTACTGGGGAACCCTTGCTAACCAAGTCAGAAAATGAAAGAACTGGAGACTGGTCATCTGTGCAGAGGAAACGACGAGGTATACATAGCAATCACGCTAGAGATCAGTTTCGTACTGGTGCATAGGCCTCCAGGGTAGATTACTTCTGGCAAAAGTTCAAAAATAGTCATCAGAAAAGTTGAAAAAGAGCCTCTGAAAAGAACCTCTTTTTCAGTTTAATTGCCAGAATAAGCATCCCGATGTATCTTTAAGCTCGTTATTGTTTTTAATTGTAGCTGTGTTTTTAGAGGTAAAATGACAGTTGTGTTAATGAATTGTATTTTTGGCAGAGGCCAGTAAAAACAACCCTCCCAACACCAAAACAAAATCATACCAGGCAGTATCAATAATCATTCAGGAAGTTTTGAAATAACAGTTTCAGGGATTAATTTAAATTACTGCACTTTGGCACTCAGTGCAGGAGTTACTGTACAGTTTCTACTTTTCTGTCTTTTATAATCATTACAAGATGTGCTGGTACCTCTTCTGCACTGTTTTTAAAAGAATATGTCCTTTTACATTTGTCATCCTGAAAATTTGTAACTTGAGGGATGCAAAATGAGCATTACTCACAACTCTTGTCTCTCAAATATTGGCAATAATGTAAATGTGTAATATTTACCTAGTGGCTGCTAAGAGACTGGCACAAGGCTATATGCCACTTAAGTTCTGAGGTTAAATGGTACTTCAGTGATGCATAAAATTTGTATTGACCATCTGCCCAGCATTGAATTGAATCCATTAATGAATAAGCCTTACAGTATCACTCTGAGACAGGGAATTATGCTACCCATTTAACAAGTGATAAAACTGAGCCCCAAAGGGCTCATGTAATCATTTCGAGTCATCCAGGAAGTGTATAGCAGAGCCAGGAAAGAACTCCTTCTCACCTGACCTGCCATCTTTCATATTTGGACTTTTATTTTTTTAATCCCTGCATTTGGTATCCTTTTCACTACATTCTGTAATGTGTGGAAAATGTACATCAGCAGCTATGCGTTCTTTATGCATAGTTTTAACAGTCAAAGTCTCTTGCAAAATATCTTAAAATGCACAGTTAATGTGAACTGTGAATCATGCTTCCCCATAAAGAACGACTTGAGACACAATGCAAAAAGACCAGCATAAACAGCACCAGATGGCCTTTGTAAATTGAGCAACTTAGCACAAAATGCCAAAAGGAAGATCTGTTATTGTGACCTCTCTTTCTATTTTTTTGTGCAGTGTTGAGAGGACGACTGCACAGACCTTTTGCTCGTACAAAGTGGGACTGCTGGTGTAGGACAATTAACGCTTTTCCTTTCATAACCTTGCTGAACGACTCTTTGCTTCCAGTAGTAAATGTCAGGTCACGTGTTGGTTGCTTGCATTCTAAAACTGAAGGGGAAATCATCTTCTCAAGTGACAGGAACTGTCATTTTTCTCTGGAAAATATTTTTCAGAGCTGTATCTTATGTAACCGTTACCGTTGTTGACATTTTTCCTAAAAGCCCTGTTCATTTGACACTCGAGCAGATTTCAGTATAAAGCTGTAGACTGCAGTAGAGAATTCTTTTGCCATTGCTTATATCCGTTTCCTTTACCATGAGCTCAAGAAAGGAATATTATCTATCCATGAGTCATGCTGTAGAAAGGTATTGTATTTTTAATATCATTAGAATTTTAAAAGAAGAGGGATAAACCTTAGCATAGGTGAAACCAAGAGTTAATGCGCTTCAGTTAAAGAATGTAGCTATTAAATTTTGATGGAACGCCATCACTGATACTTCAGATAAAACGTTGATGTGGTGATGGAGGGAGTGCAAATGATGAGTTGAATGCTAGAGAAAGGTGTGGTGTTTTTTAGGAAAAATATGTATAAAAAATATAGGATCCTCAGCCTGAGACTTCATGTGGATCTTGCCATAAGAAAATACAAAAGTATAGATTTCTTATGTCTGTCTTGGGTTATGTCTACAAGAATGCATCTCTACACAGCTGTCTTGCAGTAGATTAAGACTGAAAATATTTGCCTAAACCTTATGTTTTATTGTGCCTGATTCCTACCTAGCTTAAGGGTGACAGTGTAGTGTTTATAACCTGCTTTCCTTCCACTTTTCCATCTCCACAGAAAACTGGTGGCAAGTCTTCATGATGGGTCTTTTAAACTTAACTTACCAGCACTTATCAGCAACTCCATGGAAAAAATGCTACAGAACGTGGAGTCAGTCGGTATGAAAATCCTGTTAGTAAAGCCTTTCGCTTGCAGCTTCTGCTGGACCCAGCTGAGGGGTGAAAGAGGTTATTTTTGCAGGTATTTCAGGTCGTCGCCCGTGCCGATCTCACCATTATAGGCAGTGAATGTAGGTGTTTCCTAGTGGCTCTGGAAAAGCATGTTCAAGAAATGATGTGTTCTTTCTGAGGGCATGCTACTTTTAAGCTTCCAGGGTGATCTGGAAGGACTTTGATCGGGAGAGTTGGTGCATTATTGCTGAAGCATCCGTGCTCAAATGTTGCAGTTAAGTGTTAAGCAAGCTAGAGACTTCTGCGGGTAGGTTATTTATTTTAAGACACCTTTGGGATTCTGAAGGTAGGTTAAGATGTCCGTCCATATAGACATTGTCTTAATCTCTCAAAACCAGGATCTGACTGGATTGATTAAGTATCCTGTTACTGCCAAAGAGCACTGCTGAGTTTAGGAAGGCAAGTCAGATCTTGATCTTATCTCTATGCGTTATAATGAGAAACAGTGTAATATAACCTGCCCAGCTAACAGCTGAACTCAGTGCAGACATATGTGAGAGGGGGCATTTGCCACACTTAGGGAGTGAAAAGTGCCCTGCTCATTCCTGTGACTGGCCTGAAGGGTGGACTTTCTGCAGAGTTTAGAGCAACCTACCCTACAGACATCTGTGGTATCTCACAATCATGGCTTTGGGGTTTATAGAGTCACAGCTCCCTCCTTGTCAAAGCGAGAAGTAGGATAATGATCCTCAAGAAACAGGTTCCCTCTATTAGTCTACATCATGTATGATTTTATCAGTGATGATTCTCAAACTTGCCTCATGCATTTTTTTAAATTTTTCTCCTCATCTTTTAAAGGAGCAGATGTACTTTTGTATAAGTGTGGAAGTGAAGCACAAGTGTGAATATTTTCGGATGTGTAGCCTCAGCACTTGAGGCCAGATATTTAAAAGTGTTCAGCTTGGATCAGCTCATCTTGTAAGGTTTTCAGAGAGACCAACAGCCAGGTTGCAGTTTACCTTTAAAAATCTGGCTTTTTTTTAGTGTCTAGAGAAGCCGAGAGAACTGAATTTATTTTCGTGAGACCCTGACACTAATATTTGCCCAAGGTCGTGAAGGAAATCTGTGGTACAGCTGAGAAACGTACCCAGCTCTCTCAAGTCTCTGAATAGCCAAATGACCATGCTGTCACCTTCCTCTCTTCCCTCTTGGGAAGACCAAGATGGTCTGGAAGACCATCCAACACTTCAGTGAACTGCTCTCATTAGATCTTTCTTTCTCCTGCTAGAAGTTTTCCTAGAGGAGGATCCCTAGCTGTACTCTCAGAGAGTCTTAGTGCCAATTAGACAATACTGGATCCTGAACCCTGATATCTCCAAAGGCTTACCTGGTGATCTCCTTTTAAGATCTGTGTTGGTACCAGTTACCTCAAATTACAAACCATTGCCAGGTCTGAAAAATCTGCAGGAACAGCTCTCCCTGGTTGTTATATATCCCAGGTGATCTGCAAAGAAAAGGAGAATGATTAAAGTTTATGGCCTGAGTGAGAGGAAATCAGAGGGAACATTTCCCAGTGTTCTTTTTATGAGATTTTTTAAAAGGAAAAATAATTTTTACTGACAGCCTTTCTGATGATTGAGGTACACTGTGAGGACTGTATTTGCAAGAAGGCGGCCTAGAGGAGCACCCTTTTATTTTCTGCTAGAAGACAGCAGACTTTAGCACTCTCTATATTAAGGTCGTTGGAGCCAAAGTTCCCTGCTGCCGTTACTAAAATGAACTTTAATCAATCCTGAAAAAAGACGTTAATAACCTGAATTTTGGCCTCCAGTGCTAGGTCTTTGATAGGAGAATGAGCCTAGCAGTATTGATTTTTGGATGCTCAGCATTTCTTCCAGTATTTTTGCTGCTTGTTAGCAAAGCAATGTATATTTTAGTAAAACCTCAATTTAATAAAATGCCTTTTCCCAGTAATCTTTTTATGTTAAGTGGAATATTTTTTACATCATCTCCGATACTTTTTTTTTAGTTTTGAAGCCAATACAAGTTTTGTAGAAGACTGTAGGTTCCAAAACCAATCTGAAAGTGGAAGCCTACTTCCCTTCTCTTAAGTACAGCACAGTTCTTGTCAGTCCTGCCAAATGGGTAAGATAAGCCAGAAGGTAGCACGGATAGTCACCAATTTTTGCCTTTCGTTCTCTCTTTCTCTGTGAGAAGGCAAATTCTTTTAGGTTTTTATGAGTCGATATGGCTTTTTCAGTCTTTGCTTGTATGTTTAGAAGTTAGGATTGGTTTTGATAAAATTACCTGAAGAGGTTTAGAGACGTTTAGAGCCTTCCTGAGGGAACTGCAAATACCTTAAAGGGACTGCCTCCATTTTTGGCCGAGAAGTCCAGTGGAAAGTGCACAAGAGCAGCTAACGCTACTACTTATATATTAAAAAGAGATGGAAAAGAAAGCTGAAACTACTGATGCTGCTAATATTTCACTAGTTTTTTGTCTTACGTAAATTGCAGCAAAGTCCACAGGTGGCATCTTGTATGTGGCCTGCAGACTTGTGACCTTCTTCTGAAAGGTGACCTTGTGGTTTGTAGGTTGGCTTTCCATGAGTAAGTTGTTAATAAGCAGACCACTAATGCTTCTCCACAGCACTATTGCTGTACCTTTATAGGGACTGTTAAATGATGTGGTATGTACCACAGAGACCACTGTCCAGGGGAAAGTGCTGTGAAAGAATGAGCGGGGGTTAACCACAAAATATTTACCATTTTAGTATACACCGAAAAAAGCGTAGCTGAAAACAGGATTTTCCTTTA